AGTGGAATCACACAGTGTTTGTCCTTGTGTGACTGGCTTATTTCACTGAGCATAATGTCCTCAAGGTTCATCCATGCTGTAACACGTGTCTGTATCAATTTTTTGTCTGTCTGTCTGTTTTTGGCGGCTGGCCCGTACAGGGACTGAACCCTGGACCTTGTTATCAACACCACACTCTAACCAACTGAGCTAACCGGCCAACCTATATCAATTTTTAAAACATGCCAACAATCTTTAAAAAATAGTCTGGCTGGGCCAGCCCGGTGGCGCACTGCTACAGTGCGCCGCTTGGGAGCGCAGCGGCGCTCCCGCTGAGGGTTCGGATCCCACATACAGACCGGTTCCCGCTCACTGGCTGAGCGAGGTGCGGGCGCAACACCGAGGGTTGCGATCCCGTTGCCGGTCCGGTCCGGTATGGGTGCGACACTGAGGGTTGCGATCCGTTGCCGGACACGAAAAAAGACAAAAAGGAAAAAAAAAATAGTCTGGCTTTCTGATCTCTACTATACCCCATCCCCCCAAACACACACACCGCCCTCTCCAAATGTCCTCTCACTTCCTGTGCACTTGGAGACATTTTGCTGGAACACCTGGGAATTGCTGACTTCGAGAATTCACATGGGAAGCAAAGGATGCATCTTCCCTCCAAGCCCAGAGAAGGGAGGAGAGGCCCTGAGCAGGGTAGGCACCTGCGAGGGTCGGGTTGTGCAGCCCAGGAGGCCAGATGGCACTGATGTTCTGCCCCAGGACGGGGGGACGCCTATATTCACTCTTCAGGTCCCCTCTGTGGCCTGAGGGCATCAGTCCAGCACGCAGCCCTCTTTCTGTCACCTGCCTTCTCACTCCACAACCCACACCCACCCATCCATCAGTGGCACTGGCTACCCAATCAATGGGTGGCTATTATCTCCCAGGCTTGAAGGCTGTGCAGTGGGACTCTGGTGGGTCCTGCCTGTTTAAAGAGGTTCTAAAGGAGTCAAAGTTTGCAGCCCAAACAGTCGTCCTAGGGTCAGAACCCTGCACCCACCTCCCCCAGGACATGGCTGGCCAGGAACAAGACTCAGAGGGGAAATCAACCCACCCAGTGAGGACATTCCCTTCCCCGGGGCCACCATGCTACAGCCCTCTCCCACAACGTTCACTATATTTTCCTTATTTTCTTTATCTTGATGCTCTGGCATCTGGGGCCATGCTGACCAGGAAGGGACAGCCCTCCCGGGCTTAGCTGATTCCTGCAGATCGCAAACACCTGTCCGAGAGTGCGCTTTCAAAATGTAAACCGACTAATCCAGAGCCTGCACCACCTGACTACCTCCTCCAGCTGGCTATCTTGCTCCATGAGGCAATATTCTTTGGCCCCAATCACCCAGGGCAGGCACTGGACTTCTAGGGATAACTCTGTAGTCCAGAGCTCACTGAAATAATTCAAACTAGCCAATGCAAGCTGATCCATTTGCGTCCCCTGCCTTGCTCTTTCCTTCCCACCAAAATCACACTAAAGGCTCTGGCCCACGTCCCTCCTCGTTCCCTCCACTCTCTGACCAATGCTGGGGATTCCCAGGTGGCCTTGCATGGCATGCCTAGCCTCCTGCTTCTAGGGATCTGTCAGTATAAAAATTCCTTCCTTAGCAGTTTTATTCGTAATTGCCAAAACTTGGAAGCAACCAAGATGTCCTTCGGGTGGTGAATGGTGGTATGTCCAGACAACGAAGTATATTATCCAGCACTAAAAAGAAATGAGCTCTCGAGCCATGAAAAGATGTGGAGGAAACCGACATGCATATCGTGAAGTGAAAGAAGCTGGTCTAGAAGGGCCACACACTGTACAATTCCAACTCTGTGACATTGGGAAAAAGGCTGAACTGTGGAGACATTTAAGTACAGAGGTTGCCAGGGTTTGGGTGGGAGGAGCACAGAGGGTGTTTAGGACCATGAAATTACTTTGCATGATACTGTAATGGTGGACACGTGTCACTATACATTTGTCCTAACCCACAGATGTTCAACGCCAAGAGTGAACTCTGATGTGGACAGCGGACTCCAGGTGGTGATGAAGTGTCATAGAGGCTCATTGATTGTAACAAATGCCCACTCTGGGGGGGGAGGTGAATAGTGGGGGAGTCTTGCTTGGGGGCATATTTTGTCATCCCCAAAAGAAGCCCCATCCCCATCAGGAGTCACTCACCCACTCTCCCCTCCCCCGTCACTGGCAACCAGTAATCCACTTTCTGTCTCTGGATGTGTCTGTTCTGGACATTTCACATAAATTAGAATCACGCATTGTGTGGCCTTTTGTGTCTGGCATCTGTCATTGAGTGTGATGTGTTCAATGCTCTGACATGTTGTAGAGCCACAGTCTACAACGTGTCAGAGCCTTGTGCCTTTTCATGGCTGAGTAATATTCCATAGTGTGGATGGACTGTGTTGTGTTTATCCATTCATCTGCCAGTGGACACGTGCGTTGTTTCCACTTGTTGGCTATTGTGCATGATGCTGCTGTGAACGTTCTTGTACAAGTTTTTGTGTGGAGGTGTGTTTTCAGTTCTCTTGGAGCTTCTAGAACTGCTATTACCTGAGTTGGCCAGAGGCAGTTTTGGGATGACCAATGAGGAACAGGTTCCTGCTCTAAAAGATGGTGAGTCAGGAAGGAGAAGCCCTGGGGGCACAATGACAGGGGAGGGACCCTGGCAACCAGGACAGGATCCCCTCCACTTCCAGATCCCGAACAAGGGTTCAACCAGCCCCTCCGGGCCTGTTTCCATGATGCAGGATACGGAAGAGCAGAGGTTTGGGACCTACCAGTGGCTTGTTATCTATGCACGAAATTTCCTTGTTGGCTACGTCCACAGTTAAGGTAGATGTGGTGGGTCGCTTTAAGCTGTAAGACAACAGAAATGTTATTAGAGATGAGTGCTGTTGTAAAAAACACTGTATAGTCATTTATCCACCGATCCATCCATCCATCCATCCACCCACCCATCCACCTATTCATCCCCTATCCATCCAACCATCCATTTATCCATCCATCCATCCACCCATTCATCCACCTACCCATCCATCCACCTGTCCATCCATCCATCTACCCATCATCCATCCATCCAACCATCCATCCAACCATCCAACCATCCACCCATCCACCCATCCATCCATCCATCCACCCATCCATCCATCCATCCATCCATCCATCCATCCATCCATCCATCCATCCGTCCTTCCCCATCCATCCATCCATCCATCCATCCATCCATCCATCCATCCATCCATCCATCCTTCCCTCCTTCCCTCCATCCATCCATCCATCCAACCATCCATCCATCCATCCATCCATCCATCCATCCATCCATCCATCCATCCATCCATCCATCCATCCATCCATCCATCCATCCATCCATCCTTCCATCCTTCCTTCCATCCATCCATCCAACCATCCATCCAACCATCCATTCAACCATCCATCCAACCATCCATTCATCCACCCACCCATCCATCCATCATCCATCCATACTCAGTCCATCCATCCACCCATCATCCATCCATCCAACCATCTATCCACCCATCATTCATGCATCCATCATCCATCCATCCAACCATTCCTGAATATTGACTGAGAACCTCTGCTCACACACAGGCGCCCAAACTTCTCTTGATTTCCACCTCTTCTTGAGTCAGTTTTGTTAATTTATATATAATGACTTACTTAAGAGAACATCTGACATCCAGTTTTATTGCCACCGAGATACACGAATTTTCTCATTATTCTTTTTTTTTTTTTTTTTTTAAAGATGACCGGTAAGGGGATCTCAACCCTTGGCTTGGTGTTGTCAGCACCACGCTCAGCCAGTGAGCAAACCGGCCATCCCTATATAGGATCCGAACCCGGGGCCTTGGTGTTATCAGCACCGCACTCTACCGAGTGAGCCACGGGCCGGCCTTCATTATTCTTTTAACAGCTTCTGTATCCAAACTTTTACCTCCATTTTCCATTCCTAATCGTCATTTTCATTCTCTCTTTTATCCCAAATCAAGACTGTAGGGTTTTAAGGGCCGGCCCGTGGCTCACTCGGTAGAGTGCGGTGCTGATAACACCAAGGCCATGGGTTCGGATCCTATATAGGGATGGCCGGTTTGCTCACTGGCTGAGCGTGGTGCTGACAACACCAAGCCAAGGGTTAAGATCCCCTTACCGGTCATCTTTAAAAAAAAAAAAAAAAGACTGTAGGGTTTTATTTATCATACCAGTCTTCCGAAGAAACAGCCAAACATTTCATTTTGAATTTATACAGTCTTTTGCCTTCTACTTAATACATTTCAGATTGTAACATTATTGTCTCTTCTCACAATTTCTTTTCATTATTCTTCTAGTTATTTCAATTAAATATTTGGTTCATTTCTCTTTAGTCCATTTTTTTTTCTTGCTGATAAACAAGAATTTGTAGTACAAATTTTCCTTTGAGTATATTTTAGCTGTATTCCATGATTCAGGGGTTATTTATAAGTATGTTTCTTAATTTCCAAATAAAGGAGTTTTTTTTTTTTTTTTTGCTCTTTTTCAGACTGGCCACACCGCACTCAGCCAGTGAGCGCTGTGAGCGCACCAGTCATCCCTATATAGGATCTGAACCCGCGGCGGGAGCGCCGCTGCACTCCCAGCACTGCACTCTCCCAAGTGCACCACGGGCTCAGCCCAAATAAAGGAGATTTTGTTATTGGTGTTGCTTTCTGTTTTCTTTTGGTTCTAGTTTTATGAGATTAAAGTTTGAGCATGGGATCTGAACATCTTTATTGGGAGAACTGTTTTTATGGCCAAGAACATGAATAATTGAATGGCTTTTTTTTTTTTAAAGATGACTGGTAAGGGGATCTTAACCCTTGACTTGGTGCTGTCAGCACCGCACTCTCCCAAATGAGCTATGGGCCGGCCCTCCTGAATGACTTTTAAAATAAATTTACTCTGGGCCGGCCCGGTGGCACACTGCTACAGTGCGCCGCTTGGGAGCGCGGCGGCG